GGTCATATGAGTCTGGGAGTCTGAAGGCTCTATATCAACTGGGCCCTGAGTCTGAACCTCTAGGGGAGCAACAACATCACTAATCCGCATGATATCAATATCCCTCGTCTCCTTCCCTGTCCTATCAGTATGTGGCATGGTAGGGACCTGCACAGCTTTGCAGAGGGCTATGATCAAACAGGGAAATGGAAGCGATGTGGCGTGCTGCTTTGCCCGGATCCCTATCTCTTGGAATATAAGAGCTCCCACGTCAATCTGAATACCCGCCATAATACATGCAATGAGAAGAGCTTTCTCAATGGCTATGTTAGTCTCGTTCCTGGACGATATCAATCGAGAGGTAACAAAGCTGAGCCAAAATCAACCCTCTCGTGTGAGATCTTCCTTGTAAATTTTATGCACAGGGTCGATCCAAGTAGGGGTCCCCTTTGCTATCATCGAAGCAATCCAACTACGCTTATTTTCCCTATTTGCCCATTTGGCAGCATACTCAGTCGCGCCCGATCTCCAGCCAGGGAAGTACAACTCATTAATTGTCTCACTGCTGCAGAACACACTCTTCTCCCGAACCAGTACGGTGTCAATAAAAATCCTATTGCATTTGTGGTGCGCAATCCTGGAGGCTCCATATGATGCATAGAACTCACAGACAAGAGTCTCATTATATTCAACAGGCGGTTCAGTGAAGCACTCCCATTGTCTTGCTTTGATGTTCTCCCATATGTGGGGGTACTGCTCTTGTAGCCCATTCAAACTCAATTGCTTTTCGGCCAGGATTTTCCATTTGGTGAGCCCTTCTCTATACAGTTCCCTAGACCTATCGACCCCAAATCAGAGTTAGAAGTCATCTCTGTGTTTCCTTCTTGCCTCAGCTTGTAGGTCAACTGAGGGCAAGATCTCCTCCTTATCAGATTAGGAGGGAAGTGTAGTAGCAGGGTCCGGGCGCGGTCGTTTTGTTTGGTGAGTTTGACGACTGGAAGATGCCCTTTTCTGGGCAAAGGCTGGATGTTTCTTGGGACCTATATTTGCACAAAAGTGAAATGTGAGCGACATAGTAGGCAACAGTGGAAAGAAAACAGAAAACTTTAAGAAAAAGTTGAAAATGTGACAGGTTATGCGGTCGCATAACCACTATGCTGACCGCAAACTTGATAGTTCACTACTGGATCTCAGTCTGTGATGGGTTATGCGATCGCATAACCACTATGTGGATCGCATAACCAGTGTAGAACTGATTTGCTCTCAAAAACCAAATCACAAAATGCGATAGCAAATTCCACCGCAAAGTGGGAAATGCGATCGCAAAAAGCAAGGTTTTAACTGGGCATTCTGTTTCAGTCTGCGGTGACTTTGCGGTCCGCATATCAATTATGCGATCGCAAATGTCGTCATATTTGACATTTTCCTCAGCCAACTAGGGTTTAATTATACGGCATAAATGCGGACCGCATTTTGATTATGCAAACCGCAAACTCCATCGTCCCCAACGAGTTAATTCTATCCTCAACAATGGCGGTCCTAATTCTTGCTACCCAGCACCCCAATTATGTTTCCTACCCAAAAGACTATCAAAATATGGGCGGACATTTACTTATAAAACACAATCAAGACTAAAGAAAGAAAATAGAAAAGAGACACAGGGGAAACAAAGGCGAAACTAAAAATAAAAATCGGGGCAAGGAAACATACCAGTGAAGATGAATAAGCACACTAAGGAAATGAATTCTCAAGTGTTTTCGTCCTTTGTTAGATGCCACTAGCCATTTTGCCCTTGTTTCGTTCTTTGTTTGCCCTCTTTTAAAAAAAAATATTTTTTTGTTTTGTTTTGAATGTGTGAGAGCTGAAGGAATGCGAAGATATACCAGACTGATTTGCGGTGGGTAAGTCACCGCATAACACACTATGCGACCGCATAAGTGTTATGCGGTGGATTCAAGCGACTTGCTAAAAGGCCAAAAATGCGGTGCACTATGCGATCGCAAAGTGAAAATGCGGTCCGCAAAGTGCACCAACTCGTCGCATCTTTACCACCAAATTAGCCAAACACACTGTGTTAGTTTCCGCATAGTGAAAATGCGACCGCATATGTGTAGCAAACTACCCAAGGTGATTTTTCTTCCTTTTTTCATGCAATCTTACCCCGTGTCATGATCTTTTTGAATCCCCTGCACTCTAACACACACTTTAAATTGCTCAATTAAATCTATCTAACAAAGAATTAAAAACTCAAAGGCCAAAAAGGGTGTTACCACACATGGGTTGCCTCCCATGAAGCGCTTGATTTAACATCGCGACACGACGAAGTTGGCGTTTCTTTTGCTTTACTCATTTGTCGGGCATGGACCATCTTGGAGAGCCAATTGTTCCACCAAATGTTTTTCTCCATCTGTGCCCAAGTAGTGCTTGATTCGTTGGCCATTTACCTTGAAGGTCCGGAGCCCATCCTCCGATGCAAGTTCCACAGCTCCAAAAGGAGAGACATTGACCACTTTGAATGGACCAGACCATTTTGATTTAAGCTTGCCCAGAAACAATTTGAGCCTTGAGTTAAAGAGCTAAACCAAGTCACCCGACTTGAACTCTCTTTTCAAGATCTTCTTGTCGTGGACGAACTTCATCTTTTCTTTATACACAGCTGCACCTTCATAAGCATGGAAACGGAATTCCTCCATTTCATTGAGTTGTGTTAACCTCAAATTTGTAGCTTCAGCCCAATCCAAGTTCAACCTTTTCAGAGCCCACATGGCTTTGTGTTCCAGTTCTACGGGTAGATGACAAGCTTTACCGAAGACTAACCGATAAGAAAAAGTGCCAATAGGAGTTTTGTATGCCGTGCGGTATGCCCATAATGCGTCATCTAGCTTTCTTGACCAATCTGTCCTGTTTGCATTGACGGTCTTTGCTAGAATGCTCTTTATCTCCCGGTTGGAAACTTCAACTTGACCACCAGATTGGGGATGATAAGATGTGGCCACCTTATGCTTGACGCCATATTTCTCTAGTAGCCCCGTGAAAGCCTTGTTACAGAAATGAGACCCATCATCACTAAGAATGGCCATAGGTGAGCGAAACCGAGTGAATATGTTTTTCTTCAAGAATGCGGTCACACTTCTTGCCTCGTTGTTTGGTAAGGCAATTGCTTCAACCCATTTGGACACATAGTCCATCGCTACCAAGATATATTTTATCCCACAAGAGCTTATAAAGGGACCCATAAAATTAACTCCCCATACGTCGAAGATTTCTATCTCCATCACAAAGTGCATTAAACCCTACTGTCAAAATGATAAAGCGTCGCCAATTAATTAGAGATTTATATACTTATATGGATATTGGACCAACTGAAACTCCTGATATTGACACTTGTATTTCTGAGCTACACACACATTTACAAACTTTATATAATTATTATGCTAATATTGATGCTTCTTCGGTTGTAGATGCAAATATTCCTTCAACTAATCCTTCAACATCTAGAACAACTATGGATGATGATGATTGTATTCAAGATTATCAGATTTGGTCTACACTAGGAGAGCATCAACAAACCAGTAGCAGGAATATTGATGAACTACAATTCTACTTGCAAAAGTCACTAGAGCCCCTCACAAAGGATTTTCTACCACTGGGTTGGTGGAGGAGCAACTCAAATCAATTTCCTGTTCTTTCGGCCATGGCTCGAGACGTGCTAAATGTGCCGATTCCAACAGTCACATCAGAGAGCGCATTTAGCCAAGCAAGGCAGCAGCTAGGAGATACCCATCATTCATTGGGCAGCAACGCTTTAGAAATTCTAGTGTGCTTCAGAGATTGGATAAGATCAGAGTGGCGAAATCAAGGGCGTGACGAGGTAGACGAAGAGGAGGACCAAGAAATTGGAGATATAATGGTTTATGGTTCCGATTCAACCAATGCCGGAAACCAAGAACCTCATGTTGACATGGAAGAACTTACAAAAATGATGCAAAGCATGTGATGTACTATTTCTTATTTTTTATAATTATTATAAACTTTTAATTTGCAAGTTCAAAAATAAAAAAAATCAAAAAAGAACTTGCAAATTAATTTGAAGTATTAAAAATATAAATGAAAGCCTTCGGAGTTTGTTCCTTATATTGCCTATTGGTTTTACACTCTTATTAAATAATTTTTTGTAGCCACTTACTTTCTAATTTCAATTTTATAATTTTAAAATACAAATTTTAAATTTAAAACTTTTAACAGCTTGTTTGGATGGTCGTTACCTATTGTATCGTATCGTATTGTTACTTTAAATACGATGTTTGTTTTAGTTGTTATTTAAATTTTATTGTATCGTATCATTAAATCCGTCATTACATAACGTCGAAATGTGCCACTTTATGTAACAACCGATTTGGTGTGGTTGCATCGTTATCTTGTCTTTTTCTCTCATCTCACCCTTCACTATTATTAAATTATTTTATTTTATCATTTATCATACCTTTTTATATAATAAATTTACCCCGTATCATAATTTATTTTTATAATATTACAAATTTATTCTTTATATTGCTAGTGCATGATATAATGAAACAAAGACAAACGATAGAATCTATCCAAACATTGTATTCATCAAACGATACAGTACAAAACGATACAATACGATACGATACATTATGAAACGATGTGTAACAACCATCCAAACAAGCTGTAAACTTTAAACTTCAAAGTTTAATTCTAACCCTTAAAAGTTTGCAAATACTTAACTATCAATAACATTGAATAAAAAAAATAAAATTTAATTTTAAAAATAATAACTAGAGCTCGACCCGCCCGAACCCGCTAAGCCCGAATCCATAGAGGCCCTAAAAACCCACATTTTCCCAACCCGCTAAGAACCCGTTATCCCAGCCCGTCCGTTAAGGCCGCCCGATAAACACCCATAATAGCGCCAAAAGAAAAATAAAACCATTATCCTCCGCCCTTTTCACCATTAATTAGTAGCACTGCATTTGTGCAAGGCAAAGAAGAAAGAATGAACACTTTCTGGGTTACCCTCTCTGCTTCTGTTATCGTCGTCCTTCTTTCCATAGCCTCACTTCCTCTTCTCAACAACAACGCCAATTACTTGAAATGTACTTGCTTATAAACACTAGTGTTTCTTCATTCTTTGTACAATTTTGAACAGTCAAATGATTCCTCTTCATAAAATTTCATTTTCTTAGTTGCAGACTTGCGGAGAAGTTCAAGTGAAGTTGCAGATTTGGTAGTGACTAATGGGACTATTTACACCAGTGATGACTCTCTCCCTTTTGCTGATTCTATGGCCATTTCCAATAGCAGAATTCTCCGCGTTGGCAACTACTCTTCTATAAAGGTCTTTTTTCTTTTTTCAGTTTTACTTGATTTCATTATTCTAGGATTATCATAGGATTGACCAGAAATCCCTAAAGCCAGTGGTGCACAGTTTGAAACTCAGTGGATGTGGGCCCCGACCTGCCCCTCTACCCTTCCCTACTTGGGCAGTGTTCAAACCCGTGGGCCTAAGCGCCTGTCTCCACTTAAATACCAGATTTTTGCGACAGAATTGAGTACTTGCTCCTAACCCATACATCACAAGCTGACACTTTTACCATTAGAATAAAGCCTTGGGGGCTAGAAAACATAAAACATGTAATCCACTAATTTGCACAAATTTCCTATTAAGCCCAAATTGATAAATTCATATCCTGCTTATGCTTTCCTGAGTTGTTGATAAATTCATATCCTACAGTTGAAATGTTCCATTGTTATATTTGACTTTCTATAGTATAGAAGAACAGAATAAAATATAAAGTTGCACTTGTAGAAAAAAAGAAGGATAAAGTTGTACTGAGAGGTGAGAAGAACAAAAGTCAGTTGTTAAAGTATTTTTGTATGTTGGGAAAGTATTACAGCTTTGTGTTGAGGGTTAAAATAGACACATTTTTGGGCAATTCGACAAGGAAAGTAGGAAGAGCTAGCATTTCGTGATTGAGAGAGTAATTGTTTAAGATAAAGTAGCAGCAGTTCTCACTTTTCTCTTTAAAGTAATAAAACAGACTGCCTTTTGTTGCTAGCAAGTGTTTAAATTAACTGAAACAAAGGTCAAAGGTGTATTGTATGTTAGGTGAGATATTTAAAATGACTAAGAAGGTTTGGATGGGTAAATATATTGCAGTAATAAGTGCTACTATTCAGGCCATTTGCTCCACTTAATAGTCTACTGTCCTTGGAACCGATGCAGGTTTTGCTCCTAAATCAAGGCCTAAGCAGTCTTTGGGATTATATTGCAGCTTGAACGCAATTCCATTGTATCACTTTTGGTTTTGAAGCTAGACGTTTACTGTTTGATCATGTTCATTGCCTTTTTCAACTGACTGATTTCATGAACTTTCCTCTGGATATGTATTTGATGCCTTCACGAGATCTGGAGATCATATTAATGAGTTCCAATAATATATATCCATGCCGGTGTTTGTGACATCTTTCAATACTTCTGTACGATTAGGATCTGAAGGTCCCTTAGCTATCTTAGAGTAACTCGGGATTGAAGTGCAGTTTATATTTTTAGTTTCTTGGCGCATATTTGATTTCTAATTCATTTATCCCTTCATCTTTTCTCAAATGTTAAAGAAATGCAATATGGAGATTCAAGTAGTTGGTGAAGTATATACCATACTCAGAGCTTATGTTCAGGTTAGATGTGAATGCAGAAATTGGCAAGGACTTTGACTAAGGAGCTAAATCTACATGGAAAGATTGTGGTCCCTGGATTTATTGATTCCCATGTGCACTTCATCCCTGGGGGATTACAGGTTTGCAGCAGTCCTACCATCTCATATCTGTGTTTATTGTCAATCATATCATCTAACTAGGTTCTTGACAAAGTTTGGCTGCAGAGTTGGTAATATTACATACTTCATACTGGGGTATGCTATTGGGTGCAGGGCATAAATCCCCTGAAATACGGCAGGGGGTCATTAAAAAAGTGAAAAAAGAAACTATCAAACTGGAAAAAGGAATATCTGTCCTCAGTAGGAAGAGTGGTTTTGATTAACAGCATACTGAATTCGCTTCCCACTTATCATGACTTTGTTCCCTATCCCTGTCAAGGTAGGGTAAAGGATTGACCAGTTAAGAACAATTTTTCTTTGGAATGACAATAAGAACATCTTTACACTTGATCAAATGGGAGATTGAGTAAAGAGGGGGGAATTGGTATCAAAAATCTGAAAAGATCATAACAAAAGCCTGCAATATAAGCAGCTTTACAGATATAGAAGTGGTACAGGCTAAATGCTGGATTTGATTTCCATAAAATACCACATGAAGAGGGAAAGGTTGCTGCTTATTCATTTCTTATAAATGTTTTGCAATTGAAGACTGAATGCATCATCGTAGCCATGGAGGTTTTTCCATCTAAGCTTTATTCATATAGTAAAGCATGCATAAGTTCAAATTTCACCTTTTTATTTTTGCATATGTTGTTGGTTTGATTTTATCTAGGCTTCTCTTTGAAACCCATCAACCTGCAACTCTCTGTAGTTCAAATGCCAATAGTTGATTATAGTAGTTCCTCTACAAATTAAAGTATAATATTGTATTCCTTTAACCTGTTATTAACTTCGGCAGATGGCACGAGTGGAGCTTCGTGGAGTAAATACAAAAGATCTTTTTGTGGAAAAAATTAGAAAAGCAGTTGCAAGTAAGTTTTATGTCTGCTGAGCTGCTCATACAACTATAGCGTTTGTCACATTGGCATGCTCCGTCCTTACTTTGGCTGATACCAAGATCAACCCTTTTCTTGTCACTGGGTAAAAAGATAGTATATTCCTCCTCAGCAGCAAACATTTTCAATTACTTCCCCATTTATTACAACTTCGAAAACGGGCTAATTTCATAACAATTTTTGTGGCAATGGGATATATCATTTGTTTTATATCTGTATGCTTCAATGGCATTTACCACAATAAGAGTATTATTCAAAGCTCAATTAAGGAGCGTTTAAGACCTGAAACTTGGTGTACCATAGGTTGGGCGCTCTGCTTTGCTTAGGCCGTGCTTAAGTTCAGGCATCAAAGACGCTAAAGCTGTAAAGCATGTGTCTGATTGCTTCTGGACTCTGTTTGGAAGAGGGTGACTCTAAATAATAAAGATAGCCGGCAAATGGCATATAGATGTATATGTTTGTGACTAAGAATAGGACACTGTGAAATAAGTATAACAAAAGTACTTACTAATTTTGAATAGAAACCTAAAGTTACATATTTGCATCTGAAACATAAACTAGCTCATGCTTTCACACACTCAGTTTAGCTTGTAATGTGTTGTGACTTTGGGTAAAGTTTATCTATAAGGAGCAGATGTCACATGAAATACCCTTATCAGTTTGTTATAAATTTTAGCAATGCTATTGATTGTCTTTTTGGTTATCAAATACTCCCTCCGTTTCAATTTATGTGAATCTATTTCCTTTTTAGTCCGTGCCAAAAAGAATGACCCCTTTCCTTATTTGGAAACAGTTTACCTTTACACAATGATTTATAGCCACACAAAATATATGTGCCTCATTTTACACCACAAGATCAAAAGTCTTCTCTCTTTTCTTAAACTCCGTGTCCAGTCAAACGGGTTCACATAAATTGAAACGGAGAGAGTACAAATTAACTATCTTTATAAGGTAATAACATATTCATTCTTCTTTCTTTGAGATGATTTTCTCCCTCTACTTTTGAAAATAGCGAATTTTTTTACTTATTGAAAATGGTTAATTACAATGCCTCTGGGGTGTGGCATCTGCTAACAAAGAAAAGAATGCACTTATAATAAGAAGAGGCTCAAATTCTGAAAGTCCATTGAGGATTTTGTCTAAGGAAAATGAATGAATAATATATATAGTATTGGCTGTCTTGAATTGAAACTAAATAGTATCAATTTTATCATGTCTTTCTTTGGAAATTCTAATAGATGTGAAAGAAGGTTCTTGGTTACTGGGTGGTGGTTGGAATAATGATATTTGGGGAGGTGATTTGCCAATGGCCGCGTGGATTGATAGTGTTACTCCTCATAATCCAGTAAGATATTTTCACGAAATTACTTTATTTCGCTTTAGAAATTACATAAATCTGTTGTTTAAGATTTGGCATTTCCACATGCAGGTCTGGTTAGCAAGGATGGATGGTCATATGGGTTTGGCTAATACGTTGGCTCTAACACTTGCTGGTATTTCACGTAACAACGAGAATCCAAATGGTGGAGCTATCATTAGAAATAATGACGGGGGTAATACATTTTTCATCTTCATATATCACTTTGCTTCTTAATTATTCAGCAATGCAAAACTTGTGAAATGGCCATTGGCCACTTGCTAACAACAATTGGGTTGGTCAATGGAAATGTGATCTGATTTGAGCCTAGACTATTTCCGCTTCACCTAAAGGTTCCAGCTATAAGTGTTGTCCAGTAAGGCTCAAATTATTTTTCGAATTATACCTAACTCTTAGTCCCACTAAGATTGCTACCCGTAAATACTTTTGTTTATGAGAACTTTGGAGATTGATTACTGTTGATGAACTCTTTAAAATGGTGTATTCGTATATTGCCTTGCAAATGTTTTTTCTTTTACCCTATAATGTACACAGAAGTAAAGAATCCTACACAAAAACATGAATTTCTATGAAGAGCATTCAATCATCATGAGTGATTGGAACATCATATTTGCAGTTCACGAAAAAAGAAAAATAATCAACTAATATGTCCAAATGGTATTTTGAACTCCTTCAAAAGCTGTTTCTTCCTCTCTTATTCTCGTTTTGTGTCCACATGAAAAGAACTACTTCCCATGCTCTTATTCTCATAGTTTTTGAAATCACCAACTCAATTCCAACCATCTTGTACAGTATATAGTATAGCCAGTATGCAACGGAGCGACGAATCAATTACAAATTGACTTCCGCTTTCACTTTCTTGACATAAAACATCAGCTATTGTTAATTTTCCATCTCGAATGCTGAACTTTTAGGGTGGCTCCATGACTTTGTTAAAGTGAAGAAAGACACTTCTCTAGGTGCCTTAAGAACCCCTATTGAAGAATGAGGGGATTCCCTATGTTTCTTCTATGAATGTCATTGAAGGGGAGCCCTGCAGCGATGGTAAAGTTGTTTCCGTGTAACCTATAGGTCACGGATTCGAGCCGTGGAATCAGCCACTGATGCTTGCATCAGGGTAGGCGGCCTACATCACACCCCCTTGGTGTGCGACCTCTCCCCGAACCCTGCATGAACGTGGGATGCTTCGTGCACCGGGCTGCCTTTCTTTAACGAATATGTCTTAGATCGGCTTAAATGTGATGATCTATTCCTTCTGTTTTTCCATTTCTGTCTGTGTTTATCCATAAATAATAGTCTTTGCTGGTATAGTGATCCAAGCAAGCTGTTGAGCTCTTCCCTATCTAATCTTGCAGGTTTCTCCTAAAATCAGGTCCCATACAATTCCACCTCTGTTCACAAAACTGGGCTATTAGTGGCTTCTACTAATTGGGATAGTGAAGATGGACTGGAATGGAAGGCTTCAAATAAAGGGACATCATCGCTCCATTCCTCCGCAGCTTTTTGTTTTAGAAAGTATTCTAATTCCATGCCCTATAAAACTAGCATATCCGAAAATCCCTACACTTTTATTGTCTTCATCCAAAGAGTTACATCAAAAAAAAAAAAAAAAAAAAAAAAAAAAAAAAAAAAGAGTTACATTGTGCTGTAGGGTGATCTGGTCAGTCCTCCTATTCCACTCAAACTCTATACTTGTCGATAAATACCGTCCTCCACAATGCATGATATTTCTTATCGAAACCTCTAAATGCATTTTACCTAAGAGCCCTGTAAGACAACCGTCGTCCTTTATTTGATTTGCACCGGGTGTCCGAGTCTCTACGAGCCCCGACTAATCCCGGGGGTGCACAGACCCTCGGTAAGGAGTTTTCCGCAAGTGCACCACGGTTAATTCAGGTTTTACCCAGTCCGATGGCCCTCAGAAATTGTTTGCATCCAATGGGTTTCGAACTTGAGACCTTGAAAGGGAGCAAACCCCAAGGCTCAAATCAATTGCCACCAGGCCAACCCCTGAGGGTTCAACCGTCGTCCTTAACCCCCTAACCTATAACTTTTGTACAGGATGTTGCTATCTAATTCACTAGATGATGAAGCACAATCAACCTCTCCACCTTATGACTTCTAACTTGGCCGATTTATATCCTACAAAAGTTTATCTACAGTATTTTTAATCTTTTTGTAACAATTCCCGATAATGATACTAAAGATGAGTAGTATGTTGTATGCTGGATCGAGTGCTCTTACTCAGTGTTGACCTACTAGTGCTCTTGATAAGTGTCTCTTTCGACTTTGTTAGATATTTTTTTCTGTAACCTTGTTAGCCTCTTCTCGACTTTCTCATCACTAGATTCATATGGTGTGTTTGAGACTCCGAAAAAGAGCCAATCTTACAACTGAGAACCTTTACCAAATGTTCAATGTTCTGTACGTCACTGTTGGAAATTTATTTTCAGGCTCAAAACTATCTAAAACCATAGCAGCTTCTTCAGGTGTTGGAGCTAATCACTAGACCATCTACCCTTTGTTTGGTAGTGTGAAATGTGAATTCCCTCAAGCAACCTCCAACAATTGTTCTATTCTATTATTTGTTTGGTGCTTAACCATAATGAACATGTTGATGTAGGATCACCTTGTTGTAGACCCTCTGAACTTTCAAAGAAACCTATGAGTTCTCCAACCAAGTCTAGGAATTAGACAATAGTCTTTGTAAAGATGATCCATTGTATCCATCTCTACTCGAACCCATGTCTTCCATTGCAAAGTCCACAAGTTCTCGTTGACATTGTCATATGGCTTTTCCAGATTCAATTTGCACAGTATCCTTTCCTTCCCTTCCCTACTTTTTATCTTGGAGTCCACTAAAATGGGTTTGCAATTAAACCTGCATTTAAAATATTGTCTTCCTCCCACCAAAGTATTTCGTGATGTCGTCATCATAGCATCTATGCCTAAAGGAAAGCTTATTTATGAAATTCTTATCCAATAGACTTGTGGGTCTAAAGAATGTTCAATTCCCCATTCTACGTCTATATAAGTGCAATAAAACATGCATTTAGGCTCCTTTCAAATTCTCTACCGAATGGAAATAATTAAATGCACTCATGACGTCCTTTAATTTGTAGCAGAATGATTTAAAATATGTTTGGAACCATGCGTACTTGGGGCTTTGTTCTCCGCACAGCATCTAATTGCCTCCAAACTTCCTACTCTGAGAACTCCCGCTCTAACCACTGACATTCTGAATCTTCACTCCCTTTTAATTCTGGCCTCCGCTTTACATCTTTCTCATCTTCCTTGTAGAGTCGTGCGTAAAATCTGTCAATAGTTTGAGGTTTTTTGTTAATTGCCAGTATCATGAAAGTGTCAAGGTTTAGTTTCAACTTTACCTAGGTTATGTTTTTCCTGTCACAGTCTAAGTTTCTTATAGTTTACTAAGCTTTGAGGACATGGGTCTATGTACTTTTGATGCTTCCGTGTTTGGTTCAAATAGCCAATGCTTTGAACTAGACGGACTGTGTTTTCTGCAACTCAACACAATGTAATGTGATTTTTGATACTTCTGAAGCATGCCTGCAATCTTTTTCAATATTCTCTTAAAGCTGTTCAGTTATGTATACATGTATGATTTTATTATGTATACATGTATGATTTTATCTTTTTGTTCATACCAAAATGTATTACTGAAAACTTGGGGGACATAATCATGATTAACAGTGCTTCTCGAATCAATATGCTTTAATGTACCCATATCAACTGCCTTACCAAAAAAAAGTACCCAGATCAACTGCGCCAGCTTCAATGAAGTTTGCTAAATTTAAATGCTCAAAGAAGTTAGAGAAGATCCTTACCTTTTGGAGTTTGTTATTGCAGAACCTACTGGCCTGTTGATTGATTCTGCTATGAAGCTTGTCCTTCCCCACATCCCAGAAGCCTCAGTTGATGAAAGGAGGGAAGCTCTGTTAAGAGCTAGCAGCCATGCATTGAAGAGGGGTGTCACAACAGTTGTGGATTTTGGCAGATATTTTCCAGGGTCTTCACCTGAGTACCCGTGGGACGACTTTTCAGGTTTCAGTTCCAACCAGAAATAAGATGGAATAAAATCACTTTACTTTCCTTATGGTTACTTTACTAGAAAGGATAATGCCTCTTTATAATTGTACTACAGGAACGTTAAACATTTCAAAGATAAATTACTTGTTCAGAGATGAGATGAGCAAATTGGACCAACTTTCTAGCTTTTCAACTAGGAGTTAGAAGTTGGTCTGTTGAACATGTAAAAAAACAAGCTTAACAACTAAATTTTGTTTTCCTTCTCTTTCACTACCCTGAGGTATCACAATGGACCAGGTTTTTTGTGTGGTTCCTCCATAAACCATGTAGGGACGGGGTATTGGGGGAATAAAGTTGATTTTATGCATCCATAGGCCTCGTCACTGAAAGTTGCCAGTAAGTGTATAATCTATAGGCAATTTTATGTGCCGTGATTGTATTGTTTTAGTTGCTTGGCAAATTGTAACTAAGATCTAAGTTGCTCGGACAGGGGTGCGGGTGTCCGACACAGGTGTGGATTGGAGGTCGGATCCTTCGAGATGTAAAATCTAAGATTCGTGGATATGGATCCTAGTACGGATACGGGTGCGGGAATCTGGCTAAAAATAATTCGAAAATATAAAAATATCTCTAAATTATGAGAAAATTTGTGGAATACTTACGTATAACTTGTAAAGTGGAGACTTCTTTTTTATTCTCAAGTTGTAGATAAGTAAAGGATTGATTTCCTAGATAAGGTATGCTATTTTCTTTAAATTTTCCCTAGTTTTGGTTCTTATTTCTTGAATCAAATTGTATCTCGTCTCGAAGTTTTCCAACCGTCGGGGTCAAAGTACCCAAAATTGTTTGACCAGATCCGGTACGGATCCCATACCCACACCCATACTAGTGTCATGTCGACACGGGTGCGGCACCTAAACTGTCGTGGCGGAGCAACTTAGACTAAGATTATGACAGAAGCGTGGGAACCAAATCAGTTATTGGAAATTTTGTGACACACTTCAAGAGAAGAAATGAAGGGAAACGAACGTGTCTGTTAATATCAGATCAGTTAAGGTCTAAGACAAAACTGCAATGACATATATTCCAGTATCACCCCCCCCCCCCCCCCCCCCCCCCCCTCCAAACTCTCTGTGTCGTTTGCTTGCTCACTCTTTCGGTGGAAGTTGCATTTCGTCCAAAATTAATCAGAAACTTCATCAAATTTTTGGAGGGGAAGGAGAGTCTGAAGGGGGCTGTGGGCTGAGAACAATAGGCCATAAAGAACGGCTCTGGGCTGGGTGGTCAAATGCTAAACAGGCTCTGGGCTGGGTGGTCAAATGCTAAACACTGAAGATCTTCCTCAACTGCTTCTCTATTTGTCATGCTCATTTTGTTATTCCCTAGCTACAGGTGGAACATTTATCTAACTTAGTCAACACTTCCCTTATAATTGCAGATGTATATAGATGGGCTGATTTATCCGGAAATATGATGACCAGAATTTGCTTATTCTTTCCAATGGAGACATGGTCACGGTTAGTGGTATGTCATGACTGACATTGCTTTACTGAATTGTCAGTCTTTCTGAGTTTTCCCTTGCATATGAAGATCTGATTTTTTGGCAAACCAGCTGACATGAACTCATGTCCTACCCTTCAGAATATGTAAAATTGCTTTAAGAATATACTAGAAGCTGAAATGGGAAAGCTAATGTTGCAGATTGCTCTGCACCTTATCTTGGTCCGTGGATATAGAAAAACATGGAAAGGTGCAGATCTTCTGAGTAAAAAGATTCCGAGGTTCTAAAGTTTTGTATTGTCTTTTCTAGTTCCTCGCCCACCTCTCCTTCACACTTGTAGGATCAGTAAAGTATATCATAAGTATAACTTGAATGTTAAAAGTACGCCAGATTTGTTTCAAGATTATACATGGGATTTACATAGGACTCAAATCCTTGGCTCTGATACTATGTAAAGAATATAGAAAGAAGAAATTTTGGATTGAATTGCTTGGACTATTCCCTCAGGCATGTTGGGGTTTAAATAGTATTTACAAGTAATCCTAGAAAGGAAGGAAAGTAATTCCTACTTTTAATTACACAATAATAAGGATTCTAATCCTTATTTTCCAAAAAAAAATAAAAAATAATTCAAATCCTATACCCTATTTTCAAACAATGGCCTCCTTCTATATTAGCGATTTCCCAAATAACAACCAGCTTTTTTGAGTTTTTGATGAACTTTCGTTTGGGAAATGTTTTACATCTTTTTCCTAGAGTTGGCCCTTACATAAGATTCTGTGGTCATTCTTATTCTAGCTGCAGTGGGTTATGTTGCATATCTCCTTAAATGCACTTTTACTACACTTGGACTTTTTCAATCTTGTATTGGTACTCAGGATCTTATGAGCAAGTCAGGCCGCGTGCTGAGCCAATGGATTTATTTAGGCGGTGTCAAGGCTTTTGCTGATGGATCTCTAGGGTCTAACAGTGCATTCTTTCATGAGGTAAGAATAAGATGCTTTCTGGTTTCGGAGAGCCTCTTTAAACCACAAACTAGTAACAGGGGACCCGG